GAGAGAAAGAGTGAAAGACAGAAATGTCTTGGGAACAAGATAATTACCTGCAACAAGTCAGTCTCTTTAAAAGGATGCTAATTTTGTGCCTTAGTTACCCTGTTGCTTTGGAGAACCTAAAAATATAAACATACTAACAAAATTCATCTCCCTGGAAAGAGAGTTGGTAAATGGATTAACTCTTATTTGGGAAATGAAGGATTAACGTCTGAATCTTGTGATTTTGGGATTACTAGACTATGTTTGGTTTATCATTTCAGCATTCAAGCAGGTTCTTCAATTTGTTATAAAATTCACTCTTAAGAAAAAGTTAGTAACTTGTACATATTATTAAATATTAATGTATTTCCCAGAGCGTATAATTTCCTTGGGGAAAAATTTTTAGAAGGATTTTTTTGCTCCAATTTACTTAACTTTTTATCGTCAGTAGTGAATACTTGATCTGTTCTGTGGTAGTACTGTATCTGAGAGACGTGGGCTGCCACTTCTGTGGGCATTTCCTTGCACATTCCGTTGCCTCAAAAGTTGTCTGTAGAGTAGGTATTTAATGAATATTTGGTGAATGGATACCAGTATTGGTGGGGCGGGAGAGAATCTTTATTAAACATCAATACAGCATTAGTCTAGTATCCTCTTCTTTTTTCCCTTTAGAACTTGTTGGAAAAAGTGGCACAGAAAATGCAAGCTCCTAATAAAATCCACTGGATTGAGAAGGCAAATCATTCCATGGCAGTAAAAGGACGGTCAACAAATGATGTTTTCAAAGAAATAAATACACAGATTTTGTTTTGGATCCAGGAAATCACTGAAATGGACAAGAAATAATCGTCTTTAGTTAAAAGCCATGTTATTTTGAATACAAATACAGTTAATTTGACAACAGCATACCTCTCAGCATTATGAGATATATTTCAGAGTAATTTAATGTTCTTTAATGTTCCGCCATTTTTAAAACGTTTTAATTGTGAAGTTAATGTCTTTTGAAAGCACTGTTAGATTTGTATAAAGATGATCTACAAATATTGAAGATGGTCTAAATATAATTTATTTTCATTAATATAGTTTTGAAAAAATTAAACATTTGAATTTTACAAAGAAAATTTTGTCTCATTGCTGTGCAACTGAGAGTACTCTAATTTTTCAGAGCAGTGTCATCTTTAAAAAAGGAAAAGAACACTTGCTTTACTGTAGTAAATTTAGTCAGTTTTATAGAATGTATACATCTGTTCACCTAATCTTTTAATAAATCTCAAGGGATAGGAATGAGGATACATTTTCAAATATGGGGACCCTGAACGTTGTTTTTAGAATGAAATAACGTTCCTTCAAGAAATGTTTACTCAAGGCCTGTTAGAGGCAAAGCCTCATTAGCTTTGCAAAGATGAGTAAACATTTGGAGCTTAAATATGGTGGGACAACTTGATGTCCAGACCTCTCTCATCAAGGGGAGAATGAAATAAGGACTAAATAGTGGGACTAGCATCTGTGCTGTATCTAAGCAGAGTTAGAGCACTTAATTTTGTCTTAGGAAGTTTAGGTATTACCTGGACTGGACTTGAATGGTATTGAGTTATATATTAGAAACATAGTTTATTTCCCATAAAGGCCACAAAATGTGATGAGGCTGATGATATTTAGATGTAGATATAGATAAATTTGTTGTGAGGAGTGATTTTCTATAGTAAATTAATTCCTGTCCCTGGCTTCCCTACTGCTCTAATGTTAGGGCTTTCAGATGGCCCCAGGGTAACCTAGGCAGCTTGCAGATTTTTGAGGTCCATCGTTCCTGCAGCTCTGTTGGAGTCAATGGATTTTAATTATTTGTTGATTTTTCCACATAGTGCATAAAGAATGAAAATCTAGATAACAATGTCCAAATTGTTTATATTATAGGATGAAATCATGTACAACTACAAAATCAAAATTCCTGTGTCATTCAGTGTATAATAGTTACTTTTGGATTAAATAATATCTTGAACAAGGCCTAAATTTTTAAAAATAACATAATTAAAATAAGACTGATATCAAAATACTATACACAGATAAAAAATATCCAGAGCTGACAAATAAAATCATGGTCTATTAACAAGTAAAAATGAATTGGGAAATACTGTAAACCAGAAGCAAAACTAATGAGAAAAAGGAAAATACAAAGGAAAACTTATAAAGCAGACCATAATATGAAAGTACAATGAATGAAAGATTTAAAAATTTACTAACCAGGCTCTGTAGTTATTCAAGTTTTCAAATTAAACTATAGGCATAATATGGATGACCATTCAAAGATACTACTTCAAATATAGAGATAATGTAGAAGGTCATTTAAAGTTGATTTTTCTCTCAGTTGTCTATAAGAAACTACTGTTCCTGATTGGTGAAACAGCTTGTTGTTTGAGAACTGTGTCCCTAGTTATGGGTGGGGAACATCTAACTCCTAGAGAAAGATATGAGTGATATGTCTAAGGCTGAAATGAACATTTGTGAAAAGGTCCCATCTGCTCCACAGATTTGCCATGCCTTGGTGGGAGAATGTGCAGCCCCTTCAAATTTGAGATTATGGTCAGAGAGCTATCCTGGCACTTCCTCTGGTAGGCCCAGGTTAATGGCACAACCATTCATGTAGACCAGTGGTTCTCAAGCGGGGGTGGTTTTGCCCCATGGGAGACGCGAAAACACCTGGAGGCATTTTTGGTTCTCATGACTGGGGATGCTACTGTCATCTCAGAGGTAGAAGAAAGGGATCCTGGTAACATCCTACAGTCCACAGGACAGCCAGTCATAAGAAAGAAGTATCCAGTCCAAAATGTCAATAGTGCCCAGGTTGAGAAAACGTCCTAGACAAACCAGCTTTAGGATTATCTTTAAATCCTTTCTCCCCAACCATTAGCTTTTCTACACCCTTCTGAATCTATTTTCTTTATTTCAGTTGCCAAATCCTGAATTTGCAGTCTCTCAAAGTCTGATTCTACCCCCTCTTTCTGTTTCCTAATTGATTTTCCTATTTTATTGTCTCCTTGCTTCAATAAACCAACTGACACCTCCAACTCAAAAAGTGTTGGTGGATCTTCAAAGGTGACTATTAAGGTTAAAGTCCTTAGTTCAAGGCTCTCCACAATAGGCCTTATCAACACTTCAGCTTTATTTTCCCACATATTCTGCACCTGTACACAGTACTCCAGCTAAGCTGGACTACACAGAATTTTGGAACAAATCTTTCTGTCTCCTCTTCCTGAAACTTTCTTCTCTGTTAGTCTGCCTGCTACCTAATCCTATTCATCCTTTAAGGCCCTTAAATTCTCTTTCCCTCTCTACAGCTTTCCTTGAATTACCCCAATCAAGTGTCTCTCCTTCAAACCCACATAGTATCTTCCTCCTCTCTTTGTTTTGTTAATCACACTCTGCCTTCTCAGTAAGTTATTGACATATTTGCTCCATACCACTTGCATTAAATTAGTCCTTCAAGTCAGGGAATGTTTTTTACTCATCTTTGTGTTCATAAAGCACTTTTTAGTGGCTTTTTCAGTGCCTTAAACATTCATTATATAATAAGTATTTGTATGAACTAAGATGTTTACAGAAGGAGAATTTCTAACTATTATGAGCAATCTCTGGTTTTATATTGCTATCTTATACACCTGTTATTGGGACTTTTTTCTGATACATAAAGAACAAAAACCTAGTTCACAATGTCCAAATAGTTCAAAAAATGTGACATTGGTAGATATAATGGATTTTTTAAACTTTAATAGAATTGTTTTCTGAGTGTTTTCTTGTAGTGTCTATATTACTGTTAGGAATGGGGTTTCTCTGGTGTTCTTTATTTTTTGTCTTCGTGATTTTAAAAACTAAATCTAGCATTTACTTTTTATGCTGCTCACTTGAGATTGACGTGGAAGGGTTTCTAGTATAAAGGAATGAGGTGTCTATGCTGAAAACTAAGTAAATGTATTTTTATTAGTAGGCAAGTACATAAGTAACAAATATGACAGAGCCCTGGAGGGGGAATACTCTTTACCTGTATGCAAACTTAAGCCATCAGCAAGAGTGATACACAGAAGTTCCTTTTCGGTTCTTAGAAGAGCTATTCTGTGCTATACTAATTAGGGATTCAGTGCCATAAAGCTCTGAAAGATCTAAGGAACCAGAAAGTAAAGTATTAAAGCACTGAATCCCTTTAAGGTAGTTAACATTAAATGAATTAGAGAATGTCTGCTATCAGGCAAGAGAAATTGAATATTTTGCCAGCTGCATTAAATTTTGTAGAAAAACCCAGCAGAATAAAATCATCCACATTGTATATTTGAGTGGGGTCAGAGAAGAGAATGTATTTATCCAAGAAAAATCCAGAGGTGCTGCTGAAGTTTCTTCTAGAACTAATGAATGCCTACTTTGCCTTCTGGAGGGCTATCTTTTGCAAAGACAAACCCCAAGATCACAGTTAAACCTAAATAAAGATTGTAAATACTTGTGGTCCAGTAAATACAGGCTATGGTCCAGTAGATGGGAAGACTGTAAACTCTGACACTTAGGATGTGGCATTGATTTCATTATCTCCAATATTTGGGGAAAGTAAGAGCTCAATAAATCTTGCACTCAGTTAAACTTACGTGATAGAGGAGGCCTAAACAGTTAACTCTGGTGTAAAGAATAATACTTCTTTCCTCAACCCACCTTGAATAAGTAAAGGCAAAGAAAGTATTAATTAATTACATCCTCAAAGGGAAAGTGCTGTAAATCCAAGGTAGTATTAACATTCTCATTGATAGTCCAGACTCTCTTGTCTACTTGTGATTAAACTACTGGAGACATTTTTATTTTAATTTTTTGAGAAAGATTAGCCCTGAGCTAACATCTGCTGCCAATTCTCCTCTTTTTGCTGAGGAAGACTGGCCCTGAGCTAACATCCGTGCCCATCTTCCTCTACTTTATGCATGGGATGCCTGCCACAGCATGGCTTGACAAGCAGTGTGTAGGTCCACACCCAGGATTCGAACCAGCGAACCCCAGTCCACCGAAGCAGAACGTGCAAACTTAACCACTGTTCCACTGGGCTGGCCCCTAAACTGCGCTAGACTTTGAAGGAAAGTGAGCAGTAATTAGATCTGGCTCTGCCCCACCCTAATTCTGACATCAGGAAGTGTCACATGTGGCTGCTCCTTGGAATCACTAGAGACTGTGAAAAGGAAATTCACCAGGAGACCATTCCAAAGTCTAACTTTGGTTTTTTGGCGTATCAGTAGATTGTTGAAGAGGAACTTTGCCAACAGGCCTCTCTGGCAAAAAGGAATATGAGGTGTTCTATTTTAAGAAAAAATAGGCCCATAAAAGACAAGCTATCATATGTCCTACATAGTGACAATGGAACATACTAAAAAATTATTTGGTATTTATCTGAAATTAAACTGGGACATCCAGTTTGGGTGTTTTTCTTTTAAATGTGGCAACCCTACATTTGTATACTCCTGATCACAAAGAAGCATAATATATGCTGTTCCTGGTGGTAATAGAAAATAGTTAGGTCCAATTCAAATTTGTTCTCCATTTTTAAATTACAAGGTGGTGATGCTCCAACTGTGCTAGGGGATTGTTTACAGAATTGTGAAATAAATAGGGGGTTATTGTAAATTTTTAATTATAAACTACTTATAGCGCCATACATGTCTTACCAAGGAACTTTCATGATTGCTAAAGTAAGTTGATGTGAGCTCAGTTAAACACCCACTATGACACGTACCTCACTTGACTTAGGCTCAGGACAATCACTGCTGCACTTGATAAGACTCTGAGCAGCCCTGGAAATTTTTTTCTGGCAGAGCGTTGCATGTGGTTATGAGATGGTCATACCACCTTTGTGTGTTTTGGGGCATCTGAAATTGAGGACTTCAGAATGAGACAATCTATTTCACATACTGCATAATAATGTTGAAGCAATTTTATTTCTTTAAAAAAGCCCTACAGGGTGGATTAGGAGATAGTATGTTTTTGACATTATGGGACCTTCTAGAATCCTGGATTTCTCAAAATGTTTGGATAGCAATCTTCTTTATAATTTCCTTAGGAATTATTTTTGAGATGGTACTCATAAAGATTTGTACATCCTTTCAGAAGAAGCCTGCACTTCCAGAAAAGAGTAATTCAGATGCCCAGGAGGTAAGAACAAATGGCTGATTTCCTTCTCCTCCATTTCTCAAAATCACATGTAAGAATAACTTATAAAATTGTGGAACCTTGATATTTGGATTACTCCCCTAACATTTTATTGTCTCTCTTGAAATAGAAGGAACACAGTTGCCTGAAAAGCATGAAATTTGGTAAATATCATACAATTTCATATTTTAATATAAAACTGATTCAGCCTGAGCTTCTCCATTGGTTCTCTAACTTTTTTTATTCCCATTTTTCTCTAGACAATTGGTCAATTCATTCATCTTCAGAGGAAAGGTAAGTGATAATTTTTGAAATTAAATGAAATGGGTTGGTTTTGTTCTATTCAAAACTGCATTCACATCTGAATAACAGAGAAGGGTTTTCCCACATGTGTAGAGGACCACAGATGTTCAACATCATAATTCAATCTAACATTGATTTTAAATGGTCACTCTGTTCCAAGCTATGTTAATGGCTTTTCATATATTATTGAAAGTATCCTTCCAGGTAGGTAGTATTATTACTGTTTTTATAGATGCGGAAAATAAAGCTTAAAGAGGTTAAGTGATTTGCTCCCCTACTCCGACCTCTCTCTCCAGTACACACAAAGAAATAGGAAACACTAGTTCTGATAATTCAATTGAAAAAATATTTATTTAGCAGCTACTGTGATCCCAGAAAACCCTGAGCTAGGTGCTGCAAGAGTGACATGAAAGGACTTTATGCAATCTGAATTCATCAGCATACTAAAGATAGATCAGAGTTTGGGATTAAATACTGACAGCACTACTATTGTTGCCCTCAGTGTTTTAATTGTTTTCATCAAAATCCATTCAACAATTATTAGATATCCACTATGCAATGGACACTGTGTTTGATACTGGAATACAAACAATAAGATAGTCTCTGTTCTCAACAAGTTTATAAGTTTATATTCTTGTGTAGGAGATATGTACATTAAGGATGATTACCTTGTAGTATGGTAACACACTGATAGGAATACTGTGGGAGCTTTTAGGAGATACCTAAGCCAGCAAGGGGTGTTGGAGATGGCTTCATGAAGAAGGTTGTACTGGAACTGAATTTTAAAGGATGAGTGAAAATTAGCCAGAAAAAGACAGCAGGTTAGGAGGATAAGAAAGGCATTCCAGACGTGAGCAGAGGCAAGCAAATAAGAAACATCAGGGTATGTGCAATAAATTATGATTATTTCAGAGTTGCTGGAATGCTGAGGTTGAGTCAGGGAGTAGTGGGAGATGAATGTGAAGAGGCAGGCAGATGTCAGATCATGGGGGGCTTTCTATACCCTGTTAAGAAGCTTGGGTTTTATTCTGAGGATAGTTAGTAACCACTGGCGGTGGTTAAGCATAGGAGTGACACAGTTTTGTATTTCAGCTAGCTCACCAGTAGCTGTGTGGAGAATGAATCTGACAATTACTTGACTTTAGTCTAATTTCTTTCATTTGTCAGGTGTAAAGGGGCTTTATTCATTTAATCTGATTGCTCTATTTTCATAGCACCTCAAGTCGTAAGGTGGGTATCCTGGGACGCAGTAACAATATCTGGAGGTACTAGTAGGTAGAAGCCTGGCCAGGGCTGGTTGGGAACAGGAATGCCAGCACAAACTGGAGCACCTAAGTATTTGAATCAGAATAAGTGACAAAAGTCAACAGGACAGACCAAGAATCAGTGTTTGAGATATACAGGGATTAGGTGTACACTGTGATTGAAGTTCACATGTAATTAAAAACTAGAGGATTGATAGGCAAGAAAGGAAACCACAGGAAGAAATGAGGAGAAAAGGATTTTTAGCTTCAGAATCAAGGTGACCTCAAGAGTTTCCCTATCCCTATGTGCCATTATTCCACTCCTGCCTAGGTGGGATTTAATCCTTAGGTGGCACCTTTCCAGGAGGTATTAGGGGAAAGTAATTGAGAAGAGATTAGGAGGGTGATGTTGAGGGAAAAGGATTAGGGAAGAGATATGGCTCCTTTGGTGGCAGCATATTGTAGTGAAGAAATACACGTTTTGAATTTAAAGAGGTCTAGGTTTATGTCATAGTTCTACCTCTTAATGATGGCATGATGTTGGGCAAATTACTTAAACTCATTATACCTTCATTTCCTTACTTTCAAAATAGCATCTAGATCAATTACCTCTTAGGAATATCATGAAGATTAGTTAAAACTGTGTATACAACAAAGCAAAAATATTTTACCCTGGCTCTAGAATTCCTTTCTGGGACAGAACTGTATTTCAGAGAACATCTTAAATTATTTTGAAATAAAATGGGTTGAATATTGGTGGAAGCTCAAGCATCAAAATGATTAAAGTATATCACATCAGAGACTGAGTGGATTTTATCTTGCTTATGAGATGGGAGAGAAGAGAAAGGTGGGAGTGGTGGGCAGAGAGGAGGAAGGAGCAGGTGAAATGGTGTGAGGCTCAGGAGTCAATGGCATAAAGGGACGTCAAAGGATGAGACCACCACTCAGTATCTGGAATCAGGGAGAGCTGTGCTGGCCAGGCATAGTCTCAGAGAGCAAAGCAAACTGCTGATCTTACATCAGTCAAGTTTTGGGGAATGAATTGTTTCAGGGTTGACCTCAGCTTTAGAAGTGTGTTCCTAGGAGAGTCTGCCACCAATTACCTGACTTTCAAAGCTTGAAGCTGCCACTGACTGGTTGGTTTCAGAAACATATTTCCTGAAGCGAGTTATCATTAATAGATAAAATTATTTAAAAGCAAATTTGGTGTTTATTTGTCATTATGACTATAGGACTATACTATGACTATATGACATTGATTGATTTGATTTACAGCCACTTCTGGTACTTACGTGTTACCATGGCTATAGAACTATCAGTCTTTTCCTAGGAGTGTGGGGAATTCTTTTCAAATTTTCAAAGGTCAGTTGAGATTCTCGGGTGGGGAGAAGCCAAAGGACATTTCAGAAGTGGAAAGACATGCCTAATGTTTAAGTGGGAGTTGTTTGTATTGCTATAATCAACTCCCTTCTATTTCTGCCTCCAACTTTTTATTAAAGTTTATGTGTATGGGTGGTTTGTGTATGTGGATTTTATTTCCCCCTCAGTGAACTTGAGGAAAGGGATGGGTTGTATGTCTGGGTCAGCTTGTTGTGGATGAGGGTTAGCAATCAGAAACCTAGAGGCAAAGATGGCCATTCAGCAAATATTTACTGAGGGCCTATGTTCCAGGCATTGTTCTAGGCCTTTGAGATACATTGGTGAACAAAACAGACAACGATTCCTACCTTACGTATTAGTCAGAGGGGAGTCTGATGATAAACTAACACACAGTAAATAAATAAATTACATAATATGTCAGAAGGTGCTAAGTTTTATGGTAAAACAAAAGATAGAATAGGGTAAGAAGAATCAGGGTGCCAGTAGTAGGGGAGAAGAGGTAGGTTGCAATATATATGGTAGGATTTGAGTAAAGCTTTGAAGAGATTATGGAGTTAACCAAATAGATATGGTAGAAAAGTATTCCAGACTGGGGGAGCAACTAGGGCAGAAGCCCTAAGGCAGGGTGTGCCTAACGTTTGAGGAACACTAAGAAGGCCAGGATGGCCGATGCAGGGAGGCGGGGTGACAAACAGGGATGAGGTCAGAAAAGTAATAGGTGACCAGATCACCGTTGGGCCTTGTAGGCTATGCTAAGGACAGTGCTTTTACTCTGAGTAATAATGGGGAATTGTAGAGTTTTGCATAGGAGAACTATCTGTTCTGTCTTATATTTTTAAAGGATCATTCTGCCTGGTGTATTGAGAATAGACTATTTTTGGTCAAGGGTCTAAGCAAATGGCAGGCTACTGCAAGTCATCCAAGTGAGAGATGAAGGTGAGCTAATCCAGGGTGGTAGCAATGGAGGTGGTGAGAAATGGTTGGTTTCAGGATGTACTTAGAAAAGTAGAGCCAACAGAGTGTGGATGTAAGAGAGAGGAGGCAAAGATGACTCCAAGATTTTGGCCTGAGCAAGTAGAAAGATACAGTTTTCATCAACTGAGATGAAAGCTGTGAGTGGAGCAGATTTTGATGGGGAGATCAGGAATTTTGTTTTGCATTTGTTGAATTTGAGATGTTGATTAGACATCCAATAGAGATAGTAAGTGGTTTGGGAGAGATGTCTGGTAGACATAATAAGTTTGGGGGTTGTTGGCATATAGACAGTATTAAAAGCCACAACAGAGGATGAGATTACAAAGGGATTGTGGGAAGGGAAGAAGAGCAAGGATTGAGCCCTGGACACTTCAAAGAGGTCAGGAAGAAGAGGAGGAACCAGCAAAGGTGACTGAAAAGGAGCTACCAGTGAGTTAGGAGGAAAACCAGACCTGGAGGTTCACCAAAAGAATATGTAGAGTGGGAAAGACAGATAGGTATACAAGCTAGGTACCTATATCCCTTATCAATTTGGATGCAAAACACTCAACAAAATAAACTAAACCCAGCAGCATTTAAAAGGATCATATACCATGACCAAGTGGGATTTTTCCCAGGAATTCAACAATTATCTAGTATTGTTTTGTTATGTTTAAAATCACAATATTACATTGTTGAAATATCTGTCTTGGATTTCAGCTTCCTCTTTTTTCCTGAAATGTGTAAAAATTAATTGTTTTTATATCTTATATTTTCACTATTTGTTCAGCTTTCCTAAGTGAATACTCATACTCTAGTCCTGATGAAATGTTATCCTAATTATGTCTGGACAGTGCTATAATTTGTTGAGGCCACTTGATTCCCCAGAATGCTTATACATCCTACCTGTATCAGTTAGGATATTTTAATTCTCAAGTAACAGAAAATCATGATTCAAACAGGCATACTAAGAAAAGAATTTATGATATCATATAATAGGAAATCCTGAGGTAGAACTAGCTACATAATTGGTTGATGCAGTGGCTCAACAACTTCATTAAGGTCCTGTATCTCTCCCTTTGCCTTTCCAAAATTTTGCTTTGGTAATAAGGACAGACCTTGTTACCAAAGGTAACATGATATTAAAGGTAATGGGTAGGTGTAATTGCCAGAGTTCTCCAGAGAAACAGAACCAATTGAAGATAGATAGATGTTATAGATTGATAGATAGACAGATGTAAGAGAAGATTTATCAGAGGAATTGGCTCACATGGTTATGGAGGCTGAGACGGCTGGTGATCTCCCTCTGCAAGCTGAAGAACCAAGAAAGGCCTGGGGCAGGAGCACGTGGCACTGGTGTAAGTCCCAGAGTCCAAAGGCCCGAGAACCAGGAGCTCTGATGTCCAAGAGCAGAAGATGGATGTTCCAGCTCAAGAAGAGAGGAGAATTCACTTTCTTCTGCCTTTTTGTTCTATTCGGGCCCTCAATGTACTCCCTGCCCACATTGGTGAGAGCATATCTTCTTTACTCAGTCTACTGATTCAAATGCTAATCTCTTCCTGAAACTTCCTCACAAACAAACCCTGAAATAATGTTTTAGCAGCTTTCTGAGCATCCTTCAGCCTAACCATCATAATAGGTGACAAAGATGTGTATACAGCCTATATATTAGCTGTTAATAAATACTCTAAGAGTTGAGGAAACTTGAAAACTACTTAACATTTTTTAAATATTCATCCAATATTTTTGTGTTATCTATGAAAGAAAGTAATCAATTATTTAGCCTAAAATACTCCAAATTCTAATTAGCAGAATCAAATTAATGAGATCTTGCTATATAAGTAAACATTTAGAAAAAATAATTTTTATGGTTGGGTAGATTGTAATGATTTTATATACTATCTTCATGACTTTGTTTATGATGGAGAGTTATTTAAAAGTAGGGTCATTCCTCCAGTAGTAAAGTACAAGATAATCTGTGTTCCCTGAACAAATAGCTCCTAGAGTTATCTGACCTCATTTATATGAGTTTAAGTTTAGGAGTTTAGGCTTGCCTTTCTATAAAACAAAACTTAGGGTGCATCAGAATCATGTGGAGGGCTCATTAAAACTCAGATTTCTGGGCCCCACACCCAGGGTTTCTGATTCATTAGGTCTAGGGTGGGGCCTGAGATTTTACATTTCTAATAAGTTTCCACAGGATGGTGATGCTGCTGGTCCAAGCATTGTTAGACTGAACCTAATCATTTGATGTAGAAAGGATGTTAGATGGTCTACTTACTTGATCATTACACCAATCCAAAATTGTGCTGAGGAGCACTGCCCTAAAGCATAGGGTTTCCTTTTACTCAAAAACAAACAACTGTTAAAATAATCTAGACTTATTTATAGAAAGCCATAGTTTATGGTATTGGACATTCTTCTGTTGTACCTGCTAAATTTCCATAAGAATGTTTTTATTCTTGTCAAAACTTTACAGAGAACAGAAAAAAACTGATATTTCTTATGAAAGGTTACAATCCTAACCTGCAACTTTGACTCATTGCTCTCAAAGATAGACTTTTGGACAGGTTTTAGAGGTAAAAATCCCTCATTCTCTGAGATATGAAAATAATTTCCTTCATTTTTTCAGTAGATTTTTTTATTAAATGAATGGAACTAGTTAATGAATTATTCGTAATGTGGATAATGAATTTCCAATTTATCTCTATATTGAGCTATGTTTTCATAAACTAAATTGGGTTTTTTTAAATCTAGAAGAGAGTTCTTGGAGAAATATTTCCTAAGTGACAATTCATTTGCACACTCTTTTCTTATATTTCAGAACTGATGACTTTTCAGAAGGAACAAGCACTTCATTACTTACATCTGAAGAAAATGAAGGTTACTTCAAAGACAGAGTTTTATCAGCAGATGAAATAACATGGGCAGGTAGCAGTGAAGGTAAATATCAAGTAAGTCACTTTAGTGAAAGTCATATGCTGTCTTCAAATGAGACTAACCCATCTTTGTCACTGCTTCATTCAGAAGCAAAGGAAATTTCTCTAAGCCATAGAGGGTATCCAGAAAATGAACATGAAGCAATACAATCTTCATCAAAGAAATTATTTTCAATGATGAAAACCAACAAAACTAAAAATTTAATGTTTTCTTCTGACTTTAACTTTTCAAGAACTTCTAGAATCACTATGGAAAGTGAAGATCTAGATGTGGCATCATGCCCGTCTGCCCATTTATTTCTTTCTAGAGACCAAGTCAGACTTCTGGAAGAAAATGTGAGAAATCAAATTCCTTTAAAATCCAAAGCTGTCTTAGAGAGTGAAACTACTTATCTGTACTCAAGATCTCAAGAGTCCTTGATCCAGAATCAACGTTCTTTTAGAATGGACATTTCTGCCCAAACACAAGTTTCTTTTCCAGGACAAAATGCTATTCAGAATCAAGGTTTTTATGAAGCTCAATTTACTAGCCAAGCCCAACGATTTGTTAACAACCAAGAATCAGTCAACTGCCAGTCTGATATCAAGGCCAGGTACTTTTCTATGCCTCAAGATTTGACAAAGAAACCATTTTCCAGCAACACACAATATTCCTTCCAGACCCAAGACATGGATGGGAGTCAACATTTAGTCAAAGTCCCACATTCTGTTCAGAGTCAAGATTCAAGCAGGGGCCTAGAGTCTGATAAAAAACAGTTAGATGAGGCACAATATTCTGTTTGGTTTGAAGATTCAAACAAGATTAAATATTCAATCCTGGGACAAAGTACTATTTTTAAGAATGCCAGATCTCTAGTTTTAACTGTAAGTCCAAAATCAGTTGCAGAAGAGATGCCACAGCTAAAAAGTGTAAAGCTAAAGGGCCAGAAACAAATTCCTTCATCAAAATTAAACCAGTATTCTGTATATGGCTCAGTGCCTCTTTCACCTACCACCAAAAGGCAGAAAAACAGAATAAAAACATTACACAGTAAAAGTAAATTTAGTCTCAAAGTTTCATCTCAAAAGTCAAAGAAAACACCAACTTCACAGGTATTTCAAATTACAGTATGCCACGCTTCAAAAGAAAGCAAGCTAAGAGGCAAGTATAACACTAAGAAGAAAGAACTAGATCAAAGGAAAGGTGTATCAGATAGAGCATTGCATCTTATTTATGTTTCCAAGCTTGTTCCTCCTTATATGAAGAAGTATTGCAGGAAAAAACTAATGAAAGTCATGCCAGGTTTAACAGGATGTAGACATTTTCTGCTGAAGCAAAACATCTCACTAGATGCAGAGAAAGGCAGTTGTGCAGAGTCCGTTGGGAAAAGCGGAACCTCAGGCAAGACTAAAAATGTAAAGCAGCATGGTGGGGACAATAAAGGACTAAAAAACATGTCACTGAAAATTCCACCTCAGCTGAAACAGCCTTTCATGGTCAATAATTGTCAACTAAAAGCACCTTTTCTTTTAATAGAGGCAAACTGGAAGAATAAAAAGTCTTTTAAAGACCCAATTACACAAGCAAATGAAGTTGGTATTGCAGAGTTTCATGCCCCAAATAGGAAAAAAACTTCTGACCTGCCTTTTCCAAAGCATGAGATGCCTTTAGAAGAAGATATATCAGAACCTTTGCAGAAATTTGTTTTCTCTCCCAAACTGGAATCAAACAGAAGAATGAAAACACAGGAGGACCTGAAAAGTACAGAGAATTCTCATCTTCCACTTTCAAATGGAGAGAAGTTACCAACTAGTTCACCAGAGATGCAGAGGTGCCTTCCACAGGGAAATACACAAGAACACGAAGATTTTCTGGAAATCGTTCTGGAGTCTTCAGATGTCAATTTGCTCATTTCACTAGGAACCAAAAAGCGTAAAAGCAGTGAACAATTAGCAAGTGTAAAAACTCAAGAGAGTACAGAAGATGTAATTCTGAAGGCAAAGAAACCGTCAATCCTTGATGTTACAGAATATGATAATCTAAGTGAAAGTGAGGAACTGGAATGCAACTCTAGAAGCAACATAAAAAATATGCAAGATAAAAGAATAGCTGATGCATTTCACAATGCCACCAACACTACCATTTCTCAACCACCTGATATGGAAATGCTTAGCAGATTAAAAGCCAAGACAGATACATCAAGAATAGAGCTTAGTCATTCAGTGGTAAAGCAAGAGAAATTACCAGAAGAAAAGAAAATATGGAATGTAAAATATATTGAGAAGAAATGTGTATTTAAAAAACCACAAGAACATGACAGAGAGGAAGAGGAACAAGCTTTACAAGAAGAAGTTCCACAGCTGCCACAAGATTTCAGATTCAGCCTACAACTAAAGCAGAAGTCCAAATATGTCAAATTTGAAATAGAACAGAGCAGTTCAGGAAGTAGAAAAACTCAAAATAGAGAGCAAGAGGTAAAACCACAAACTCTTTCTACAGAAACGATTTTGGGTACTAATCCACGCCCCACGATGGATCCATTTGAAGTTGAGAATGTGAAGCAAAGCACTAATAGACCTACAGACAGAGAAACTGCAGAACCAAAGAATCTTGCTACAGTGCCAGAGAACTTACCAGTTGGTGAAGTTTTAATTGAAACAACAGAATGTGGTGTCCCATTTGGTAGAAGCTCCAGGAAGACGCTGGATGATCGTATTGCAGAAGAAAAGGAAGACTTAAAAAAAGTTTTACCTGCAGTTTCCCTGGGCTCTTTCATTATCCACGTGCTTCCTTTATCATGTTTTAAAAGGCAGAAAATCAGAAAAAAATTATCAGGAACAAAAAGTATACTCAGTCCCAAATGTGTAATTATGAAAGCAAAGAAGCCAGCAATTTTACTGATGCCTGATATCAGTAGACATGGTAGTCTAAATCATAGACAAAGATTGAGAGGCAATTTTAAAATCATAAGGAAAAAGATGCTTCGAGATAACATTGAGGAAGATGTGCTTCTGAATGTTATTTACCCTCATGTGTATATTTTGCCTCATATTAGAACTCACAGCAGATTAAATGCAGAAAATCACAGTTATACCAAGCTAAAACAAGAGAAATCACAAGTTGAAAGGGAAGAAAAGTGTTCAGATTCCATAAATAAAGGAAGTGACTCTGGAAACACACTAGAAGGAGCTAAATTGCAAGCTGAAGTGAGAGGAGACAAAGACGCTCCACAGGAAGCAGTCCTTCCTGAGAGCTGGAACCTCAGGTTGGATGCATATCCAGAGAAGAAGCTTAAAACAGAGAAAGAAATGCATCGACCACCCACATCTGCGGAAACCATTTTGGAGTCTATGTACTCCCCCATAATTGATCCACCTCATATTGAGAACATGAAAAGCCTAACAACACAACCAGAGTTAAAATGCACTGCAGATTCTGAGATGCCTCTTCCAACATTAGAAAAATCACTGATTGGAGATCCTTTAAACCAAACGAGAGAAAGTGATGTTCCAGGTTATAGAAGTAATACAAGGGAAATGGGTTACTGTTTTGCAGAAGCAAAGGTAGAATTACCAGAAGATTTACCATCAACTTTCCCAGAGACTTTTAATTGCCATATGCCTGTTTTAACTCATTCTAAAGTGAAGAAAAATGGAGTAAGATTCTCACACACAGAATGTACAGTGAGGCCCAAGTCTGTACATATGAAGGCAGTGAAGCCATCAATTTCACAAACATTTAATATCACAGGTCATAGAAAGAAGTTGGACTCCAACTTTAAGGCCAAGTTTGAAAAGATCAACCAAGCTAATGGATTGCTGTTTGAATTTCTAAATACCCTTTACTCTCCCATGCATAACAGATTACAAGGAGAGACAGACAGCTTCTGTCATACTATGTTAAAGCAAGGGGAACTAGCAGATGAAGGGAGACCACAGTATGTTGATTTCTTTGGTAAGAATGGTGCATTCCATGACAGAGAAGAAAAAGTGCAAGATGAAGAGGAAATGGAGCAAAAAACTTTGCTAGAAGCAGCTTCACACCATACCCAATATCTCTGGCCTGATGTATGTCAAGGGAAGGAGACCTACCTTGATGAACCAGACCTGGCACTGGACTGTTTAACACAGGAACTGCCTGTTAATGAGCAAGATGTGCAGCACCAAACATACTTTACACAAACTACTTTGCAGACTGGCCTCCAGATGCTTCCTAGAGAAGCTGAGCAGCTCCAGAAAACCAACAGAACAGAAAATGACATAACAGCCCCTATGGGTCCAAAGATTCTACTTCCAGAAGCAGGGAACTCATCAGTTGATAAACTTTTGAACACTACAGAGCGTGGCTTACCATCTGGTAGAAACCATGAAAGGGAACGAAATTCTTTTGTGGAAGAAAATTCAGAGTTACCAAAAGATTTGCAAGTGACATTCCTGCAGTCTTCTGATTCTGTTGAGCTCTTTGTTTCTAAATCTAAAAGAAAGAAAAAATCATTGAAATTAGCAAGGAAACGAATAACAGTGAGTCGCAGACACAGAACTATGAGGGAAGAAAAGCCATCAATTTCACATATGCTTAATGGCAGACAGAGCAAGGAACTGCAATGCAACTTTAAAGCGAAGATGAAAAATCCACAGCAAAATAAAAATGTAACAGATGCACTCTTGGATATTATTCACTTCAACATGCTTATTTTGCCCAACATCAAAATGAATAGCAGATTAAATGTGGAGACAGATAGGCAAAAGATAATAAGTCTTGGTCAAATGCAATTAATGCAAGAGAAATCACCAAATGGAAGGAAATTGTGTAGCCCAGGTTCTATTGATATGAGTGGTTTATCTAATGGTGTGAAAGATGGGAAGGAGGTAGAAGGGGAACATGAAGATTTACCAGTTCCAGAGAATAGCCAAGGCTTCGTATTCAATGCATATCAGAAGAAGAATTATGAACTTGTCAAATCAGATGAGGAACTGAAACAACCAGGAAGTAAAAATATTCAGGTACAACCACAAATACATTTTACACAAACTATTTTGGGTTCTGCCTCATGCCCTATATTGGATCAGTTTCAATTTGGAAAGCTAGAGAGCTATGCTAGGTATTCTCGTCCAAAGTCAAAGGAAGGCAAGACTGATAAAATCATATTTTCTGCAAGAGAATGTGGTGTCCCATCTGGTGCAAACCATCAAAAAGAACAAGCTGGTGGTATTGAAAAGAAAGAGACTGTGACTTCTGATTTCTGCTTGCCTACTTTATCTACATCTAAAAGCAAGAGAAACTTCAAACGATATTCAGACATGAAAACTTTAGTGAATCTCAAATGTGGAATTTCAAAAGCAAAGAAACCATCGATCTCATGCATACTCAATATCAAAGGTGGTGCTAACCCAAACCATAGGAAAGAATTGGGATGTAACTTGACAACCAAAATGAACAAGGTGGATCAAGGTAAAAAAATGGCAGATAACATGTACTCCTTCATGACTTTTACACCTGACATTAATATGTATAGCAAGGCAGAAAGAGAAAAAGACATCTTGGAAGAAAAAAGACTTAGTTCCAAGCAAGTAAAGCAAGCAGTATCACCACAAGGAGGGAATATTACTTTAGATGACACCAAAGAAACCAACAATCAAGATAAAGAGGAAGAAGAAAGTGAACAAGAGATGTTATTAAAAGTAATTCTGCAGCACAGTCAACATTTCGTATTCTTTTCAGGCCAGAGGGAGAAGCTTGACCTCCAGAAGTCAGAAAACCAAGGAAGCGGGAAAATTCTGTTTGTTATTGAACAAGACGTCCCACAACAAATGCAGCCTACAGATCCAATGCAGGTTAAAACGGCAAAGAAAAGCCTCCAAACACAAAATGGCACAACGAGTTCAGTGAATTCACAACTTCCTCTTCTAGAGTCAAAGACATCACTGATTGGTCAAGCCTTAATTGATACAATGAGACATGGTGTCCCAAGCAATGGGAGCCACACAGGGGAATGGTACAGTTGCAGTAAAGAGGAAAAGGCAGAGTATAAAAATGATCCACAAGCAAATGCACTGGAGTCTTTGCATGTCTCCACACCTGATCTACCTGAATCTAAAAGGCAGAGAAAGACATTTACATGTAGAACCATAAAAAGTAAAATGAGTCCCAAATGTGTAATTATGAAGGCACGGAAGGCACCAATTTCACAGATATTTAATATCTCAGGGAATGGCTGTCTAAAAAACCTACCTCCAAAGACCCTGAAATCACAGATTATTGACTTTTTAATTTACATAAAATTCTCTGGGGTACTGGACGATCTTACTGTAGAAAGAAAGGAAGGATTAGCACAAAAATTACCAGCAATGATTCTGGAGTCTTTGGATTTATCCACACTTGCTTTACCTGTGTCAAAAAGAAGGAGAGACAATTTGAAACTTATGCACAAGAGAAATAAAATGAATCTCAAATGTGTAGCTTTGAAAGCAAAGAAGGCACTGATTTCCCAGACATTTAATATCATGAAATGTGGTACCTCAAGCCATAGAAGGCAATCTGAATGCAACTGCAAAACTGTGATGAAACAAGGTAAACCTGTGTCCGATATAATCCTAAAGGCCATTTCCTCTCCCATGCCTGTTTCACTTGACATGGAAATACATAATAGAACACAAGCAGAGACAAACATGCTGTGGAAAACAAGACTGAGTCATGAACAGCAACAGCAAGAGCAATCATCAGGTGGAGAGAGAGCCTGGTGTGCCTGTTCCAGGGATAAGAGGGGCAGTGCTTCAAATGGCATAAAGAAAGTCAAAGCCCCAGGTAGAGAAGCAGCCCTACAGAATTCTCGACACTTCAGTCTCAATGCTCATAAAAGGAAGATGTCTCGCTTTGTGAAATCAGATCTAGAACTGAAGAATTCAGTCAGGAAAAACATCCCAGAATCACTTACCATAACTCAGGAGCTGCAGCAACAAATCCTTTTTATACAGAGTGTATTACATTCTGTTTCTTGCTGTCTTTTGAATTCATTTCCATTTGAGAAGTTACCAAAAAGAACAAAAACACAAAAAGGCTTAAAACATACAAGGCGTCCAGTGATTTTATCTCCACTCCCAGGGAAATCAGTTAGTGAATCTTTAATTGTTACAGCACGGAGTGACATCCCATCTGAAAAAGGCTCTAGAAAAGAACTTGCTGGTTCTATTCTAAAGGGAAAGATGAAGTTACAAAAGGCTTTACAATCAAGAAGCCTAGAGTCTTTTGATTTCTCCATGCCAGCTTCATCTGAACTTAAAGGGCAGAGAAATGCAGCACAAATCCCTAAGTCTAGAACTGGGAAAGCACAGATGGCATCAGTTTTAAAGGCAATCAGTATCACTAGATCTGGTGCCCTTCGCCATGGAAAGGAACAAGACCACATCTTGGAAAACATGGCCAAAGAAATATCTCAAGGTATGTCAAATATACTTATGCATACCTTTCTTTCACCTACACCTGCTTCCCCTGCCATCAACACGCATAAAAAAGTAAAAGCAGAGGAAGGCTCATTCAGAAAAAAAAGCAACATTATACAGCTAAAACCAGATGACAGGAAAAGACTGTATACTTCTTCTGTTAATAAATGGAGTATCTCAAGCAACATGTCAGAATCAAGATGGCAAAATGAAAAAGAGAAAGAAGGCAATGAAGTTTTATTTGAAGCAGGTCTACAATTCCTGAATAGTACAGGAAGTAGAAAAGATCGAAATATGCTTATTACAGAGCAGGAAGTGCAGCAAGAAATGCTAGTTTCAGAAAACCCATTGGAGTCTATTTGTTCTCCTCTGATGATTCCATTTCAAACCCAAAAGCTGAAGAAGAATATCTCACCACAAAAAGACATACTGTATAGAATAGGAGGAAAGATTCTGTGTCCAAAATCAGGGAAAGCAACGTTTGACGATCTTTTAACTGATGAAACAAAGTGTAGTACTATATCTGACGGGAACTCTACAGAGAAGCTGGATATTCACAGCGCAGTTTCCCTACAACTTGAAGAAGAAGAGGAAAACATAAAAACTCAAAAAGGAATAAAATACATAGTTGATCAAAATATCCCACCTACCAAGTCAGAGAACTCAGTGCTTGGAGGTCCGTGTGATGAAAACTCTAGAAGGAAAGTGGGTGGTCATATTGCCAAGAAACATAAAGAGTTGCAAAGAGATTTACTAACAATGTCCATGACATCTGTTTTATGTGAGTCTAAAAGGCAGAAAAAGTTATTTAAATTTCCAGAAGGAAAAGCTCTTAAGAGTCCCAAACATGTAACCATGAAGGCAAAGAAGGCTCTTTGTTCACAGATGCTTAACATTACTGAGCATGGTAATCTATACTGTAGAAAGGAGCAGGAATGCAGTTTGAAATCTACAATAAAAGATGTGCAACCAAATGAAAGTGTAACTAACATATTTTCGTCTCCCATACCTATTTCAACTGATAACAAAATGAATATTGAAATGCATAGCACACCAAAAACAGAGATGGATCAACCAAGAGTAAAAATGCACAAACATACCTATTTAGAGCTAGAGAAATCACCATGTGATGGGAAAGCATGGAGGGCCAATATGACTTATAGACAAAACAGATCAAGCAGCACAAGGAAAATGAATGTGCAACATGAAAAGGAAGGGAAAACTATCCAGAAATTGTTATCAGGATCAGTTCCACACTTCAGTTTCAATGACCATTTTATGAAAAATTCTGTCCCTTGCAAATCAAAATCTGAACTGAATAGTTCAGAAGGCAGAAGGACTTGGAATTTATCTTGTACAGCACAAAAGATGAGGCAAGAAAAACACTCTAGAGAAACTGATTTGGATCCTCTTTCTAGACACATGATGAATGTTCTTCAAGTTGACATGGTGAAAATAAGTCCTCATACCCAAGAAGGAACAAAATGTATGGTAGATCTACTGACTCCATTTCCAAAAGCAGGGACATCAGAGACTGGTTCAGTACAATGTGATAGTCTCTGGGATGGAAATCCTAAGAGCAAATATGGAAGTCTTATTTCTGAGAAAAAGGCGTGGAATCAAAATGACTTAGTAAGAACAGTCTTAAAACCTTTAGATTTTTTTAGCCGTGTTTCATCTGAACCCCAAAGCCAGAACTACACATTAGAATTTGTAGGCAAGAAAAGTATAATGAGTACCAAGCATGTAGCTTTGAAGGCAAAGAAACTACCAATTTCACAGTTGCTTAATAGCACAAGATGTCTTAAAGAAAGCCAAAGAAAGAAAAAGCAGCAAAAATACAAGTACAAGATGAAAGAGAGGCCATGGAATGAAAGTACGGGAGAGGTGTTACTCTGTGCCACTGAGGGAGCTAAGATTCCACCACCCAAATCAGGGATTGATGAACACTCATTTTTTGCAGCAGCAAGGGGGACTCTATATAACAGAACACTTCACAAAAATCTGGATGGTCATATTACAGAGGAAAAGGCAAAGTCAGGGGAAAACTTAGCCACAACTTTCTTGGGACCTTTAGATTTCTTCACAGCTGTTTTATCTGACTCAGAAAGCCAGATAAACACAGTGCAGTTATCAGAAAAGAAAATCATATTGAATCCCAAATGTTTAACTATGGAAAAAAAGCCACCAATTTCACAGATCCTTAAAACCAATAGGCAGTTTACCGCAGAACACAGGAAAAACCTTGGATCCAATTTAGAAAACAAAATGAAAGAGATGCGGCAAGGTAAAAATGTGGTTGATACATTTCCAAATACCATTTACTTCACATCAGATACTTCTGACATTAAAAGGCAGAGCAGATTCGAAACAGAGATAGACAGAGTATCAAGGCTTAGTCTTGTACAACCAACACAAATGGAGTTGCCAGTTGAAGAGTTAATGATTTCAGAATCACTTAATACTGCAGGACATGCTGCTTTAAGCATTGGTAAAGAACAGGAAGAGAAGACAGATGTAGAGAGAGATAAAACTGGATTAAATGCAGACCTAAAACCTAAACATGCTTCCACACCTATTCCACTGCACATAAAAATGGAGCAATCACCTAGTACCTGGGACATCTATGAAGAATATTCTGAAGAGAGAAATGCCCTAAACAAGGCAAAATTTAGGGAGAAAGAAGAGTGTGGACCACAGGTTTTGTTTAGAATGGCTCCATGGTACACCCAGCCATTTGAGTCTGGAGCAGATCAAATGAAACAACAAAACACAATGCTACCTTTAGAATCATGCAGTAACACTGTAAAATATCTGAATGTTTCATTTCCACAAGGAAAGGAATCATTGGATGGGGCACAGGCAACTGATTCACTATCAAATAGCAGCTCCCCTAGGCTAAGAGGCAGAAAGAAGGTGCATGTAACATGTAAGACATATCAAAAGGTACAAAAAGAAGTATGTCTACCTAGAGTGTTTTTACATTCTCTTTCTATCTGTAAGCCTATTTTGCCTGAAAGTAAAACACAAAAGGATAGCGTAGAACAAGGAGTTAAGGAAGGCATAATATGCCCCCAAAGAAGAACTTTGGAATTGAAGAAATCAGTATGTTCAAAAGTATTCAATACCACTGACTATGGTACCCCAAGCAACAGAGGGGAATGGCAGCAGAACATAAAACAGAAAACAGCAAATGTGAAATATAGAAAGGGTAAATCTGATTCAGTTGTTGCAAATATATATGAGTTTATCCCTTCTTCACCTCACCTCAAATTGAATAAAGAGACAATTGATGGGATTATCTCAAATAATTTAAAAAGAACAAAACAACATGTATCGCAGATGAATGAAAAGGATAGAATAAAAGGAGTCAATATGAAAGAAATAATGAATCTCAATGTTGTTCTAAAGGCAGAGAAATCATCACCATCATATATACTCGATAGAAAGAAATGTCCTATGCTGTCAAATATTATAAAACAAGAGAGCAGGGTGCAGATAGGTAACAGTAAGTCAGGTATGAAACTGACAAACAAGTGTACTTCCTTACCTTCTCTGTCACATCCTAATTTGAATTCAAGAATAAAAGTAGGAAAAGATAAGTCAGGGATACCAAGGAGCTGCCTTTCATCATTGAAGCTCCAGGCATCATCAGATGTCAGGAAAACATCATTTGCAGTGTCCATTAATGGAGCTACTCTAAGCAATGTAATAGAATCAAAACAACATTTGCCACAGAAAAAGGAGGAAGATAGAGAAAATATAGTCTATGTGAAAGATATAATGGGCCTCAAATGTATCACTCTTAAAGGAAAGAGAACACCTTTTAAACACATACTGAATGGAAAAGAACCACAGTGGAACAATAAAGAAGAAGAGAAAATGATGCAGGAAGAGAAAAGTGATCTAGATATAGTTCAGAATAAACCCCATGCTTCTATTCCTTCTTTACCTCCCCTGGAATGGGGTCCTGGAATAAAAGAAGAGGTGTACATGCGAGGAATAACAGGATTCTGTCTTCCGTCATTAACACTCCAGGAATTATCACATGCAATGGGAATATGTGAGAAGCCAACTGATGATATTTTAAACAGTATTAAAAAAGCAAAATATATGCCACAGAAAGATGATAATAGAGTGGAAATGGCTTTGGAAGAAATAAGACACCCCAAAAGAATAGCTTCGAAGGTGAAGCAGTCTCCAGTTGCACAGGAATTACAGTTGAACATCAAAGAAAAAGAGAAAAAGATGCAGGAAGATAAAGATAAACAAGTTGAGAGTCAGAGCAAATCTTGTGCTTTCATCTCTTTTCTACCTTACTCTGAAGCAGACACAAGAACAAGAAGAGAACAAGTCATGCTAATAAAACCAAGATCCTCTTTGCTACGATCAAAACTCCAGGAGTCATCAGATATAGGAAAAATAGCATATAAAAAGTCTATTTATGGTGATATCTCAAACAGTATAAAAAAAGATGAAGAACATATAATGCAGGAAGAAGAAGAGAGAGTAAAAATGGCAAAAGTCATAGCTTTGAAGAAAAAGAAATCACCAATTTCACAGGAAATCCAGTTGGACATCAAAGAGCAAGAGAAAAAGATACAAAAAATTAACAGTGAACCAAGTGGGGTTCTGACCAATACCAGCACTTCCATACCTGCTCCTTCTCATTTAAAATTGGATACAAGAATTAAAAAAGCAGACTCTGTAACTGAAGTACCAAGAGACTCTCTTCCAGAACTATCACACCAGAAATCATCAGATACAGTACAAAAAGCAAATAAGGAGTCCACTGAGGGTGATATCACAAGTGATGTACAAGAAGTCAAAGAAAATATGCCGCATAAAGAAGAGATCGAGAGGTCAGACAAGAAAGAAGTAATGCATCCAAAAGATAAAGATTTGAAAGGAAAGAAAGTACTTTCACAGGACATACCACTGAATCTTAAAGAGCAGGAGAAAGCTGGTAGAGAAGGTACAGGTAAACAGGAAGCAGTTCTGCCCACAAATCAGGCTTCTGAATCTTCTCTAACTCATCACGAATTGGACACAAGAATAGAAGGAGAGGAAGACATACAAGGAATAACAAAATCTGCTATTTGCCATCTGCAGCTACAAAAATCATTTGATGCAGAGAAAATAGCATATACCACATCAATTGGTGATGATATCTCAAATGATGTAAAAGCAGTACAAGAGTACGAGCCACAGAAAAGAGAGGATAGAAGAAAAATAGTCAACATGGAATATTATATATTACCATGTCCACATGTACTTGGAACCCCTGGGGATTGTGGCCCCCAAATTAGAGAAGTACAGACAAATGAAGAAGAATTGGGACACGTACAGGAAAGAAAAAGTGAAGTAGATGAGGTTCTGACAGGACCTTCTGTCCCTCAATTTAAATTAAACAAAGGTATAGAATACAAGGAAGAGAAACAAGGAGTAACAAGACCCTTTCTTCCACCCTCATGGCAAAGGGAATCATCAGATGCCGAGAAATTAGAATATGCAGGGTCACCTTTGAACGATATGTCAAGTGATTCAAAAAGAACAAAATATGTGACACAGAGAGAGGACATAGCGAATATTTTTGAGAAAGACATAATGCATTCCAAGTATGTAGCTTTGAAGGCAAAGAAATCACCCCTTTTCCATATACTCAACACAAATAAACTGGAAGTAAACATCAAAGAGCAAGTAAAAGGGGGGCAGGAAGCTACCAAGGAAACAGTTGTGCTTCAGAGCAAAATCTGTCCTCTCACCACTTCTTCAATTCCTCTTAAATTGGACACAATAAAAGAAGAGGAAGATGAATCAGGAGTAACCAATTACATGCCACATCTTGAGCCTCAAAATTCATTGCCTTTAGGGCAGATAGCATCTACAGAATCAATTGATAGCCGTGTAAAGAAAGGTAAACGACACGTGCTACAGAAAGAAAACGACAGAGGACAAACAGTAGCCATGAATGGCTGCACACACCCCAATGGCACAGATTTCAAGGCAAAGACATCACCACCTCCTTGTGTGTTTGGTGTCACTGAGCACGATGCTCTGAGCAAGAGAAGGGAGCCTCAGTGTAGCAGTAAGGAGAGAGTAGAACTGCAGCAGGGAAGAAAAGGGGGCCCTGATGTGGCTCTGACAAAAACTCCTCCTCCCATGCCTTCTCCCTCTCACAGTAGATGGGATACAAGAACCAAAGCAGACAAAGACTTGCTTGCAAGTACAAGATTCTCTCCTTCACAGTTACAGCTCCCCGAGTCATCAGGTGCAGGTAAAATCAGACATGCAGATTCCAGTGGAGGTATTGGCTTATGTGATGTAATAATAAAAGCTAACCAACATGTGCCATATAAAGAGGCAAAGGAAAGAGTAAAAACAGAAGGTGAGAAAGGTAAAATATTCTCCAAAACAATAACTTTGAGAGCAGAGACATCCCCACTTACACACCTACTCAGCAGAAAGGGACCACCTTCGAATATTAAAGAGCAAGGGAAAGAAGTGCAGGAAGGCAAAGGTGAGCCAGAAAGGAGGGAAACTTATGCTTCCTTACCTCCTCCATCTGACCGAAAATGGCACATTAGAATGGATGAAAAGGAAGACACAGTAGGAATAACAAAATCCTATTTTCCACCACTAAAGATTCAGAATCCATCCAATTCAGGCAAAAAAGCATATAATAAGTTATTTGATGGGCATATGTTAATCAAGGAAGATAAACTCAAAACAAATGTTGAAGACAAAATGTTCCCAAAATGTATGGATCTGAAGGCAAAGAAACTACCACTTTCATATATACTTGATACCAGAAAATTGAAGTGGAAAATTAAAGAGCAGGAAGATGGAAACAAGCTAGTTACAAATCTGAAAGACATTTGTATTTCTTTACTTACTCTACCATATCTTAAATTTGATATAACAGAAGGAGAGGGGTACATGATAAGAATTAAAAAATTGCCTCTCTCACAACTACAATCCAAGGAATCATCAGATGCAGCAAAAATAGCACATGAAGAAACAACTGTTGGAGAACTTTCGAAAGATATAAAAGAATTCAAAGAGCACGTGCTACAGAAAGAAGAGAAGGAGAGAGAGAAAAATGTGGATATGAATAGTATAGTGGATCTGAGTGATATGTATTTGAAAGGAAAGAAATCACCTATTTTATTTACATACAATCTAAGTGACCTTCAGTCGAAAACTAAAGAGCAAATGGAGAAGGTTCAGGAAGGTAAACAGGAGCCAGATGATGTCATGCTGACTGAGACTTGTGCATCTAAATCTTCCCCACCTCACCTGAACGTGAATACCACAATCGAAGGAGGAAGCGTGCCGATATTAACAGGATCCTCTTTGTCCCCATTAAACTTACAGGAATTGTCAGATTCTGAAGAAGTGGTATGTGTAGAGCCAATTACTCATGATATTTTAATCAGTCCACAGGAAAGTAAACAACATATGCCACAGAGCAAGGAAGAGAATGGAGTGGAAATAGTAAACCTCACGTTCCCCAAACATCAAGAAAAGAAGATGCAGGAAAGTAAAGATGAACCAGATGTGGTTCTGACCAAATTTTCTACTTCGTTACCATCTCTCCCTCACTTCAAATTGTCTAAAGAAATACAAGTAGATGATGAAATGCTTAAAAGTTCTGTTTTGCAGAGAATGTCCAATGCAGGGGAAGTAGTACCTACAGAGTCAATCAGAGGTGATATCATGAAAGATGTTCAAAATGAGAAACAGTATAAGCCTCAGAAAGAAAAGAAGGACAGAGAAAAAACGGTAGATATGAGAGGTGCAATGCATACCACAGACATAACTTTGAAGTCAAAGCAATCTCCTCCTTCACATATAGTCCATAGAACAGAATTGCATCTGAACATTGGAGGGCAAGAACAAAAGAAATGTGAAGGTCAAGGTAAACCAGCTGGTTCACTGCTGAGACAAATTTATGTTTCCAAACCCCTAACTAAACTTACATTGGACAAAGGTACACAGGTAGATGAAAAAATGCTTGGAATTAAAAGACCCTCTCTACTTCCACTAATGCTTTCAGCATTATCGGATGCAGACAAGATAGCAGAGACAAAGGCAATTGGTGGTGAGGTAAGAAGAAGAAAACAATCTATGTCACAGAAAGAAAAAAAATATGAAGTGAGAACAGTAGATATGAGGATCAGGATGCATCACAAGGAGGCAAGGATTTCACCAATTTCACGTATCCTTAAAACAAAGGAATTTGTCGTGAATATTGAAGAGCCAAAGGAAAGAGTGCACGAAGGTAAAGATGAGCAGCGTACGGTTCTGACACGGACTTTTCTTTCCATCCCATCAGCACCTCCCCTTTTTCTAGATTCAAGTAGTGAAGTAGACAAAGGTGCACCAGGAATTACAGGATCCCATCCACAGCAAAATCTCCAGGAATCCTCAGATACCCAGAAAGCAGCAAGTAGAGAGCCAGTTGCTGGTGATGGTGAAATCCTTGTTGAAAAGGCAGAACCCCCTGTGCCACTAGAAGAGGCAATGCAACAGTGGACCTCAAACTTCATGATCAGTGTACAGCGAAGGAAGGAACCTCCACGAGTCAAATCCGAAGGAGATTTGAGTCAGTTGCTTTTAAATTCACAGCATGAGGATATTTATTTCACAGGATTTGGTACCATGAGAAGTGGAAAAAGGCTGGAATGTTTTTTTACAGGGCGAGAGGCTCAGCCAGAAAATTACAAAACAGAAACATTTACTACATTTCTTTCCTACCCCACAATGGATCCAACTAAAATTGAAAATCTGAAGAAAGAAACTGAAATAATGGATAACTTAAACCGTAATATGAATCCTCAGGGTTTAGTTTCACTGCCAAGGAAAATATCCAAGGAAATACATATCACATTTGGCACCCCCGTAAGTTCAAGAGGATTTTCTGTTTCCAAGCGAGAGGCCCACCAACCAGAAACTTTATCAAAAGCATCTCTAGGATCTGCAGATCCATGTAAATTTAATAAGCCAGAGAAAGATGTACAAAATAATGATAAAATGAACAAAATGTTCTCTTCCGCAGTGTCAGCACCACAGACAAAGAGGTCACTTGAGAAAATGACTATCATAGAGTCAAATAACCCCCAAAATATAGAAGAACAAGAAATTGTCATGAAAAAGCAAGTGGTGCTATGGTCTCAAAGTGGACACAAGACCAGGCTAAACTCCAGCCTTTCTCTTAAGTTTCCACTTCAAAATGGAAAGCAGAAGACACCGTTGGAAATAGATGTACACAAGCAAACCACAGTGTACCCTGGAACACAAATACTACCAGGAGGACACATGGATATTACAGAGTTTGATTCCATAAGAGGAAAAAAGGAGCAGGCATTGCTTGTTCCAGAACAGGAGGGAAGCATTCTAGAATCACTTCAGAAGTCTCTTCCCCCACACTGGACTGTTCCAATTCAACCTGGAAATCTGGAGGAAAAAAATGAAACTGACACAAGTACTACTATAAATCTGGAGCAGAAAAAATTAGGAATGGAGGAAGGGAAATTAAAAATAGACACAAACATAGCTGTCCATCTGGAAGAGGACAAAATAGAAATGCACAGACATACGACTGTCAATCTGGAGAAGGAGAAAATAAAAGTGGGCACAAGCAATACTGTAAACCTGAAAGCTCCATCTCTAAAGACAGAGGAATCTCAAACTAAAACTCAGGCAATCAATCTTATGGCAAACAGCTGCTCAATCAAGCAAAAACATCAAAAGGAACTGAAAGCATCTGGTGCGAAACAAAACATTCAGCCACAAAAATTGTTTCAAAAACATGTTCTGAATTCATTTTATGCCTATATTCCTCTTTCTCCCAAATTTGATGGTCGGAAAGGCAGATTAACAATAGCAGATTTGAAAAGAGAATTGAGCCCCATATTTTCAACTATGAAAATCCAGAACCATCCAATTTCACAGATTCTTGGCAACACAGGACGTGGTACTCCAAGCAATAGAATGAAGTTAGAGTATGACTTTAACAAACCAGAGAAAGTAATTTCATGGGGTGAAGATGCCTCAGGAATATTTATCAGAAGTCTTTCTATTTCCATGATGAGTCCATTTCAGACTGAAGAAACAGTAGAATCTGAGACAAACCTAAAAAGAGAAAAGATAATCTGTTTTTCTAAATTCCCAGAGAAATCACCAAACACTTGTGAAGTTGTTAAGAGGAACAGCTCAAACACTGCGAAAAATGGGGACCAGAACTTTACAAACACAGTTCCACAAGATTCCCAGCCCTTCATGGTGGACGAGCAACAAATGCAAAAACTTCCTAGTGTCAAATCAGAAGCAAACTTCAGCTGTGAAATAAATGAAAAAACTTTAACTCCACAAATGGAAGAAAGGGTTGTTCCAGAGCATGGTATCTCAAAGACCATAAAAGAACCTGACTTGCTTATAGTGGAGCAAGAGGAAAAGGCACCAAAACCCATTCTGACACCCACAGAGTGTCCATCCATGTCTGAAGTTCCAAAGGAAAATGTGGAAACCCACATGAAAAGTAACATAAGTATGAATATTTCCCCTCCAGGAGTAGAGAAACCACAATGTGAGACTCAGCCATTCGATACCACGGAGTGCACCTGGCCACCTGAGCATACAAATCAGAGTGAACCTGTACGGGACACAACCACACAAAAGGGCCAGCAACAAAAAACGTTCCCAGGAACTGGGCCTGTACCACCCCAAGAGAAAAGTAATGAAATAGAAATAGTGGCAGATAGTGCAAGTGTGGAAAGTTTACTTCTTCTTTATAAAGCAATTAAAAATGTCTTTGAATCTCAGGTAAAAAATTGGATCCAAGACAAAATTTATGCTGATATGCTAGAAAAAGTTAAAGCCCAGAAACCTGATGATTGGCAGTCACAACCTTCTGTAGGAGGTCCAGATACAACAGCCACGGAAATACATCCCAAAGTGCAGCCCAAACTCATTTTAGAACGTTTGACTCCCAAAGAAACAAATAAGCTCACTAATCATTTAGAGTCAAAAGCACTTGAAATAAAACTGAATCTCATACCAGAGAGAGCAAAACAATCCTTCACAAAGTTCAACTTTTATCCAAAATCGGCTATTTCAGAAGGTAATAGTTCGAGGCTCTATCCAAGCCATAAAAAAATGTGCTTTTTGTCTCTACAAGGGATTGATACTATAGAACTCAACTTAAAACATAAATGCCAAAATGACTCACCTCCTATCAGCTGTAGGAAGACACTGATCGTTAATGTTTCAAGTGGCAGTGAGGAGAGCATTAGAAAGTTAAAGTGTATTGATAAGCTAGAAAGTGGAACATCTTTAGTGACTTCTGCTAATGAGGTGCCATTGCCTCATATTCTCCAAAATTACTCAGTAGACGAAAAAGACAAACTTCTTATACACTTTTCTAAGAAAACATTAGAGATTCAAATGAAAGCCTTTTCCAGAATTGTGAGAGAATCTTATGAAATGGCTGATGCTCAGGAGAGAAGGAAACCTTCATGTAAATGTATTAATTCTGGTGTCAAAATACCAAAACGGAGAAACAGAATTTTGTTACTTTTTGAGGAAAAATCTCTTCATCAAATAGATCTTGATCTACAATACAAATACCTTCGTTTTCTCCTGGGGCTTCGGGGCAAAAGTATGTTTCCTAAGCCAAATGCACTTCCCAAACATACTCTTAAATTAAACACAGTTGCGATGTGTAAATCAGGAGATGATAGTAGAGAAAGTGGTTGTCTTTCCATTGATACAGGATCATTAGAACAACATATCTCTTTCAAAATGCAAAGTCCCCATGAAAACTCGTCATTGACTAGAAAATTCCTCGAACCAACTCATGTGTGTTCTGACCCTGATCAACATGGCACAGTGCAGAAAGATACTGCAGTTCTTTCAGAGTTAAAATCTCGTGTGACTCCAGAAAAAGATAAACAATACCATGTATGGTTTCAAGAAATAAATACATATGAATCTTTTGATTTAAAGACTCAGAAAAATGCCCCTAGTTTAGTTGACTCTCATTCAGTTCAGATTCCTGACTATTTTACTGACAGTCAGACAAAAATTGAGAGTTCCACTAACTTGAATAAATGCTCACCTCTTGAATTACGTGATAGTGAAGAATGCATATTTTTAGAAGCCAACCCTTATTTAAGTCAGGAATCACAAAAAATTCTACTTGAATTACAGAAAGGCATTCCTTTAAAACATCTCTTCAAGATGAAAAAAATCAAAACTGATTTGAAACCATTTTACAATGAAGATTCAGGTTCCCATTATATTAGTGGCTGCAGAAAACATTCCTCGATTGTGACACCACCTAACTACAAATCCTACAAAAGCAAGAAATACAGGTCATCTTCCAAAATTCAATCTCCTGATTGTTTGTGTCACAGTTCATTAAATGCTGTCGAAGTTCCATCTGTATCACCTTATATTTCATTCAGTGAAGAGAAGTTCTCATGGACTACAGGGAGCAGAACAAGTTACTCTTTCGCTCCCTTAACAGAATCAAATATTAAATTACATCTTGCAAAAAGCCAAGGCAAACCTCACAGGCATCCAGAAAGCAAAGAAAGAAAGAAGACCAAATTTGATTTATTTCGAAAGAACAACATTCATTGGGACTGTGATTACAGTTGTACACAGAGTAAAGAGAAACACACAAGAAAGAAGAAAGTGTATATTTATGAGCCAGAAAGATCAGATTATTTCCCAAGCAAACATAAGTCAACATCAAAACCTCACCAGGAGGATATCAACTTCCATTCTGAAAGACAACAAAACCAGCCATTTTTTTATGCCTGTACACCAGCAGACTCTCTGGAGATTATACCTAAAACCATTCGCTGGAATGTTCCCCAAAAAACTTTAAGGAAAAGAAACTTCAGAGTCCCTCTGGTGGCAAAGATTTCAAGCTCTTGCAGTATATGGAGTTCATCCAAAAAGTTGTTGGGGTCACTCTTAGAGCCCTTCAATCCAGTTCATCCAAATTGATATTACCATATCTAGATTCCTCCAGAGTGGAAGGCTGGTCACTATTGTGGTATTCTTGAAAAATAAAATCATATGAAGTCATATAGTTTCCTCATGAAGTGCTTTCTAAACTGATATATTTTATTTCTGCAGTAGATTTTTGCAGTTGTTCTGGGAGGTCAGGATAGGAAAGCAGATGGCTCTGTGTTTGATCCTCCCATGCATGAGATCTTCTTTTAGTTTGTGCTGCCTCCTCATAGTCACAAGAGGAGAGGGCCACAGACGTAGAAGCCCTCTTCCCACCCACTCCAGTGACTGAAGTGTGAGTCGGAGGAAATTTAGCCTATAAATGAGATTGAGAGAGAATGACCAGAAAGTTCGGAGGGCATGGAAACTAAAGGGAGAGAGTTTCAAATAGCTGTGAGGGTTCAGCTGTCAGATGTCACAAAATATAGAGATAAGTACTGGTTTTGAGAACCTGGATCCCTCTGACAGCTTTGTCCCCACCCCTGGCCTCAAGTGGTACCCACAGAAGCTTGATGGCCTGTACCTGATCACCACCTGCCATCACCAGGACATCACGTCTCTTTGGGACCTTACCCCAGAGCACCTGTCACCGCACAGGAATATCCTCCAGGAGGGGCAGGAAGCCATCCTGCAGCACTGCCAATAGAAGGGAGACCAGCTCTGGGTGTATCTGTACTACCTTCCCTACCACCACTGCACGTGCTCTTCACTGCCCTGGGCTTGGAGGCCCCTGGCTCTGGGGTGGAGCAGGCTCAGCTGCTGGCAGAGGTGGCTGAGAACCTGAAGTGTGATCTGGAACACTAGCAGCAGAGCACCTCACCTTTGCCCTCGAGGCTAGTGACCCCCTGCTCAGGCTCTTCCAGGAGGCCCAAAAAGCCTGGGCTGACCCAAGGCTGTCAGGAGAGCATAGATGTGTGGGTTTGGGGGAGGGGAGAGAAGGGGAGGGATTTTTAGCACCAACTGAATTTTTTAAAAATATATTTGTGCTGGCTTATTCCTAGTATGTGAAGAAAGTATTGGTCTCATTTGGGAAAAAAAAATTGGAAGGCTCATAAAAATTCCATAATGTTAATCATTTTATTATTCTAATGACAAGTCAGAGCGTAGTGTTTCATATCACCATTACATTCATGCTCAGGATAACAATGTTTTCTCTGTTATAAATGCTACTTGATCTTTTTAAAACATGCTTGGAATATTTGGGATGCTTAATAAAGTAAAAAATTATAAAACATTCCAATTATTTTTACTAAGTAAAGTATCTAATATTATACAGTTTAAACACAACTTTTAATTTTAGTAATAGAAACAAGGAAATTATTTCACTTTTTGATATTAACAATAACAAGACTAACTCCCAAGACGTGCACTATAACCATAAAGTAGATTCTGTCATCAACCTGTGGTCTTGGCATCTTATATGAGTTATGTCCATTGGATTTGACAATCAGGTTGAATATTTTAATGCTATTTATTATAGAGAATTTTGAACATACATAGAAAAAAGAATAGTATAATGGAACTCTGTACCCCACCCCCAGGCCTCAAACTTTAACCTAGAGCCAAACCTGCCTTATCTACTTCTCATCCACTTCTCCTCCAGTAGTATTTTGAAGCAAATCACAGATACATAGTTTTATCTATAAAATATTTTATATATCTATACAAGATAAGAACTATTTAACACAACCATCTCACATTGAAATAGTAACAGCAATTTTTTTTTTTAAGATTGGCACCTGGGCTAAGAACTGTTGCCAATCCTTTTTTTTTCCTCTGCTTTATCTCCCCAACTCCTCCCCTCCCCCCCCCGCCCCGTACACAGTTGTGTATCTTAGTTGCACATCATTCTAGTTGTGGGATGTGGGACGCCGCCTCAATGTGGCCTGGCGAGCGGTGCCATGTCTGCACCCAGGATCCGAACCCTGGGCCGCCGCAGCCGAGCGCGCGAACTTAACCACTTGGCCACGGAGCCGGCCCCGTAACAGCAAGTTTTTTATATCAAATATTCAGTTAGATGGTTTCCAATTATGAATGTCAGTTTCTAATAGTTTGTTTGAATTGGGATATAAAGAAAGTCATGTATTGTGCTAGGTTTTTTAAGTCTCTTTTAATCCATATTTTCTTATTTCATCACTTTTTTTCTTGCAGTTTTTTAAATTTAAGAAACCAGGTTGTTTGTTCTGTAGAGTTTCCCACAAGCTGCAATTTGGTAATAGTGTCCCCATTGGCAGACTGAAATTATCTCACTTTGGAGCCCTAATTGTTCCTTAACGATCTTCAAATAGATTACACAGTGTGCAGCGTTTAAAATAAGATGTATTGTTTCAGAAGATTGCCTGTCACTTTTGGCAATGCAAACTCGAGCTGTTATAGCTACAGGGTGTTATATATTATACGTTATATACAGCTATTGTATAGTTGCACATTATATACAGCTGTCACATAGTTACACGTTACGTAGAGCTGCCATGTAGTTAGAGCTGTTAGAGCTGCAATCGGGAAATTTCTTACGGTAAATGATAAGGTGGGATTGAGTGACTCGATCTTGTAGAACTAGCACTGAGACAGCAAATGTTATCACTTGTCAATAGAAAAATATTACAAAATTTTGAATACAAAATTAGATATGAAAGGGCATATTTATTTAGAATGAGAAAAGAAATCAATATACATTTCAAATTGTGTACAGCTAATCAAACCAAAACCATCACAAGTCCAGAAAAATAGCATTTTTAACTGCTTCATACACTTTTTTCTACATGTTTTGGCTGCACGCTCTTTGATCACTTCTCATAAAAACAATTTTGTAATATAATTTTTCATATAGAGATCAAAAGTAAACCAATCTTCTAGTGGTTGATAAAATTTTATTATTGACAACTGAGAAAATGCAGGCACTTTTCCTAACTCAGTGGCAATTTTACATACGATTTCATCTGGAACCACCAGACTTCATCAGAACAGGATACATCCAATATGGGAAAATGCAAGCTGACAAGCTGAGATGCATAAAATGTGTTCCTTCACACACAGATGCCCTTGCTGTTTGTGGTCCTGGTACAGGTCTGTACCCAAGAAACAAAGTGTGGTGAACTCTGCATCTTGCAGTCCCCATCAAAAAAGAAAGTAGAGTAAATGTGTTGTGTGTGCTCTGCTCTTTTGAGTGTATTCCTGTTGGAAAAGAACATCCTTTTTGACTAGATGTTGTAGAGAATGATTCATCAGCTCATAATTTTACACGCCTGATGAATGGAAGACTCTTCCGCAGACTGTTTGCTATCCCACGCCTTCCAAGTCTTGTTTCTCCTCCATCACACACCTGCCCCCTTGCAGTGGGCACTGTAGGAGGCGTTCACACTGTGATGTAGCCACTGGCCTTGCACCCTCCTGTCCCAACCTGGGATGTGTCCTTCACAGAGGGCAGAAGGATTCCTGGAACATTGTTCTACTCTGGGATGGCTAGCATAACTACAGACAAAAGAGAAAGTCCATCACATGAACATTTAGCCCACTAAACCCAAACTAAATGCATCCTAACTCAACTTGCCCTGAGCTTAATCCCAAAAATGTTTGCAGCCTCTCCAATCTCACCAAACATGGAGTCAGAGAGTAAATCAAAGTGGGAAGAGAGAATGCTTTGAGTGAATTGCAGTTAATCATCTCGTTTTTACAAATCTGTGAGACCCTGAAGCTCGAGCTTCTGTAGCTTTTATGGTACATCTGCTTATGCAAATCAGACAACAATAATTTATTTCTATACTCTAGCAACAAACATTTATTCAGTGTCTGCACATGCCAGGCCTGGTCCTGGCTATTGGACCTAACAAAAATTAACAAAGCACAAGCTTGACTTGAGAAGCTCACAGTTACAGGTCAAGAACAGACAGTCTTTTCAAAGCCCTGTAACACACTCAGACACATGCACACATACATAAACACAGCCTGGTGGCATCTCATTTCCCCAACACACATGGGTACGTTACTGGTATCTTTGCTGGAGAAAAAGAAAGCAGTTCTGAGGCCACAGTTATTTGGCCTAAGCTGTCTATCGAGAGTTACCCATTTGGAGTGGATGTGGCAAAACAGTGAGCGTCCGAGCTAAGTCTTCTGGTGACCCACGTGGCCTGACCTCCTTCAGAGACAGACTCTGAGGGAGCTGCGAGGCATGAGTTTCCTCCTGACTTTAAATACTGAAGTTGTAACCGATGCTGATGGTGTAACCATGTGCCATTAAAACTGGAGAAAGACATTTAGGCTTGAGTTTTAAGGCAATGAGGGAACATGGGAGGGCAGGGTGGAGAGTATTTGTCATAAGCTATCTCCTGCAAGATGTAGACTTAGGTCTGCGAATTTCCTAGTTCCACCACACACAACTACACCCCTCAAGGGCCTTGACTCGTTACTTGGAAGAAAGAGAGAAAGCAACAGGAATTCATCCTTAAGTCAGAGCTTCTCAAACTTTCTCAGCACCTGTAGGGTCTCTGATTTTTCATTGTACTTCTGGGCCAAAATAAATAGCTAACAATTCTTCATATTAAGTAGCTTAGGTCCAAACAACTTAATTATTATTTATATCTTAACATCTTGGAAGTTATTTGAAAAAAACAACTTAAATTGAAAGAAAAAATTCTTTAATTTAATCCTTAAATGACCACAATTACTTACTAGTGGGATGTGTGTGCCTGTTGGGCACTGCATAACTTTTCAGACTTTGGAATAAGATTGGACACTCCATGCTTATTTTTGTGCAGTACTTGCTTTTATTACAGCAGCAACTACAAAACTCAGCTTTACAGAGAAATTACTTAATGGAAAGGAACACAGCACCATCTAATAAGGAGACTGCGCTGCCTTGAGCTAGTAGTTCATGCCGAGTCCAACAGATGTCACTGTGTTTCCCTCACAATATAAAAATATTCCACGCGGCCGCAGGCACATGTTTGGAACTGCCGCCTGCAGCTTGTTGCAGTGCTCCGTATTTGGGATTTGATCAAGAGCAGGTCTTCAAGAACAATAGGACAACGAGCGGTGGTATGCATGGGGCGAGGGAACAACAGCGTAGCAAG